GATAGAGAAAATGACCACTTAGAAATCAGGAGATGTGGGGTCCCTGGGTGGCTCAATGGGTTGAGCCTCTGCCTTCGGCCTAGGTCATGATCTCAGGGTCCTGGGATAGAGCCCTGCATCAGGCTCTCTGCTCAGCGGGGAGCCTGCTTCCCACTATCTCTCTGCCTGCTGCTCTGCCTACTTGTGATCTCTCTCTCTCTCTCTGTCAGGTAAATAAAATCTTAAAAAAAAAAAAAAAAGGGATGTGGATGAGGCAGGAAATGCTGGGGATCTTTAGGACAGGTGATTCTATAGTGGGGTGAGAGATTTCCCAACCTTCTTTGTACTGTTCTATATTTTTAAATTGTTTTGTGTTTCTAATAGGCCTACATTACCCTTACAAAAAAATAAGTTATATATTTTATAAAGGAAAATGAAAATTATACTTAGTCATTATGGGACATCTGGAAGGTACAGGAAAAAAGTGCTCATTGCTTAAATGTAAGCACAACCTTTGTAAACGTTTTGGTACCTTTCCTTCTAGTCACTTTATATGCATATAATTCAACATTTTTGCATAATTGTAGTAATTTGTGTTTTTCTCCGTAAAAAAGTGAGGTGTGGGGTGCCTGGGTAGCTCAGTTAGTTAAGTATCCAGCTCTAGATTTCGGCTCGGATCATGATCTTAGGGTTGTTAAGATCAAACCCATTGTTGGGCTCTATACTAGGTGTGGAGCCTGCTTTAGATTCTCTCTCCCTCCCTCTGCCCCTCTCCCCCTTAAAGAAAGGGAGTACTGGCACCTCACTTTTTTTCTATCTTTTTTTTTTTTTTTAAGATTTTATTTATTTATTTGACAGAGATCACAAGTAGGCAGAGAGACCGTCGGGGGGGTGGGCGGGAAGCAGGCTCCCCGCCGAGCAGAGAGCCCAATGTGGGGCTCGATCCCAGGACCCTGGGATCATGACCTGAGCCGAAGGCAGAGGCTTTAACCCGCTGAGCCACCCAGGCGCCCCAAGTACTCCCTATCTTGATGAACTATAAAAATGCCTCTTTCATGCTCACCTCTTCCTGGGCCTTTTTTTCCTTTTGTCTTGAATTGCAATCTCTGACTCATCTACACTGCCTAGAAAGCCCCATTTGATTAACAGATATCAATGTGACAAGCAGGAAGAAGAAAAAGAAAAGCTTATTATTTCTCCTCTTCTTGTTAGCACACACATCATTAATAATACCCTTTATGTTTTTTTCATGGGTAGAGTGATTCAGTCTACACATTCATATATTCATTCATTCAACAAATATTTGTTAAGTACCTTGTAAGGGCCAGCCATTTTACTCTTCAGTGAAGATGCAGAGACACTAGAAGAATCCTTGCTCTTTAGGAGAACATAGAACCACAAATAAGAAAAACGTGAAAAGTATACATAGAAATATTAATCAGCTTCTAAAAGACCACAGAGAAGAATCAGTTGGATTCTCTGTCCTAGAGATCCAAATGATTCTCCTAGAGAAATCAAGGAAATCTTTTTATACATTAAATAAAATGGAGGATCTCAGAGAGATTTAGTCACACAGCTGGTTAGTGGTTGAATTAGCATTAAAACCAGAGCTGACTGTAAAACCACTCTTTCTTCTACCGAACTAGATCACAAGGAGGAGGCATCCCTCTTTTCATTGTGTTATAAGTTCCAGATGTCTGTATGTGGGGGATTCTTGAGTCATGGACCACAGCTTCCCCCTTTTTCTCTCCCTGTTTCAGAATGCCACCAGTTTCTGATTTGATCAAAGAGTAACAGAGTGGAAGTAAGGAGACCTGGGTTCTCTAGAACCAGCTTTGCCACTCTTCGAACGGGTCATCATGGGCATCTTATTCCTCATTTCTAGGCATCTCTTCCCATCTGTAAAAGTGAGGAGTTTGAAATAAATCTTTCTAAGCTTCTAATTTTTGTAAGTAATATGTCATGGTTTCCTCCTTCTTTTCAAATTATGTAGCATTTCCATAGAAGCAAGGGTTCCCAAGGGACTTGGCAAGTCTAGACACACCATGGAATTGGCAGAGGGATAGGTGAGGGTCAAAGGTGAAGGCTCTTAACTGCCTGGGTTTGAATCTCAGGTCTGTCACTTACTGCTATTTAATCTTGAACAAACCACTTAACTTCATTGAGCCTGCTTTTCTAATTTGTAAATCAGAAATAATAATAAATAACTCAGAGTTGTGTGAAGATTCATTGAGCTTATGTATATCCATCCACACTATTTTACATGGTGTCTGGCACATAGCACTCAATTAATGTAGGTAATGATACTAATGGCTACTGTACTAGTACTAATTTGGAGTCCTGAAGAAGTTTTAGAAACCAAAATACCATAGTAGCTTCTTTTACTAATGATTCCTTCGTATAGGCACAAAGGAACCAATATGTACATGCTTTGAATATGGAGTTTTAGTCATTTTCCCCTCAGGTGTTCAATTAAAGGGTTGAAAGGGTTAGGGTACTGTTGGCTGCTAACTTTTACTCATGACCCAGAAAAGACTTCCATTCCTCTTGTATAATATGGGAGGAGTCATTCATTCTTTTCTCTGCTGTGTTCCCAGTGCTCAGAGCAGGCTACAGCATGGGGTAGGTACTTTGCAAATGTTTTTTGAGTGACTAAATGATTTCACACTTTGTTTTTAAAAACTGAGGAGAATAGTAGCACTTGGCAGTGAGTCTTTAGGCTCTTGGATCTTAGCCTGTGACATGTGTTGAGTTTGTTTTGAAGGGGATTTGGGGACATCCCATGACAATCAAAACAGAATTCTTCTGATACCAGTGTTTGGCTTTCTGCTTTGATCAATAGGATTATTATTTGCCCTTGAAACCTCTGTGGTGCTGGGGAATCACAGACATTCCTCAGGATGATTTACACGGCAGTAAATAATCTGTGCTGTTGGTTGCTTGCTTCATCGGTGTCTGCCCTGTTCCTAAAACCCTGGAGGCTCCATGGCCCCAAGGCTAGAGCACTGCCGACGCTAACTCCAGATCATGTCGCTTAGCTTTACTGTTGTTTTGTTGCTCTAATATGCATCCACAATGCATTTTTTTTTTTTTTAAGATTCTATTTATTTATTCGACAGAGAGATCACAAGTAGGCAGGGAGGCAGGCAGAGAGAGGGAAGCAGACTCCCTGCTGAGCAGAGAGCCTGATGCGGGGCTCGATCCCAGGACCCTGGGATCAAGACCTGAGCTGAAGGCAGAGGCTTTTTAGCCCACTGAGCCACCCAGGCGCCCCTCCACAACGCATTTTTAAGGGTTGGTGTAATTGTAGAAGTTATTTTCCATCTGACTTTATTATAGTTACGATACCATTTATTTTTTACTTCTGTTATATGGTAGGCTCTGCATACATCATCTTCTCTAATTTGAGTTAGGTGATTGTACCCTTTTTATAGAAGTGGAAAATCAGACCCAAGGAGGTGAAGTTTATTTTTTGAAATCGCGTGGCCCATAAGTGCTGGAACTTATATTTTAACTCAGGTCTTTCTGGACGCAAAGCTCTTAGCTGCGATACTATGACATTTTTTTAATCTAAGGGACTTTCTTCTGCTGCTATAAGTGTTTGGGGTTTAAGTTTGCAACCTCTTGCAAAGATCCATAAGTTTCCCATATCATTCAGAGATGAATTTTAAATTTCTTAACAGCATTGCAAATACATGAAATTTATAGAGACAAACATAGCCAGATTACTTTCTTGTTATCCATCCATTTAGCAAATTTATAGTTCCCATTAATTTTAATCTGTCCTTATTACCTGTTTTATATAATAAATATCTCTTAGTCCTGACAGACTGAGTATAGATCACCTGAAGTAGGCTCTCTCTCAATAAGCAGAGTTGCAGCTAAAGATTTGTGAATTAATTGGGAAAATTGCAAATCAGGTAGTCAGTGAAATAATTCATTGTCACATCCAATCAATAAACTTTGTAAATCAACTCATTTAATTCAAAAAATGATCTATATAGATCAAGCAACCAATTAAACAATTAGCATACACTTTGCAATTAATTAATTTAAGCATCAATCATATAATTAAAACTCCAAATTTAAGCTGCACAATTTAGAACTCTAGTGCCTTGTGAACTACTAGGTTCATGTCTGTGAATGCTAGCAGATTAGCAGTTTCACAATTCAACTTAGGAGCAGGGTATCTTAAAATGTTTTTAATTGATTTTTAAGCTTTAAATTGTCTTTATGATGGTAGAGGTTCCCACCTCTTTTCTGCAAGTTGGCTTTTTAATTCCCCCAAAGAAAGAGAAGGCAGTGTGTGTCGGCTGTAAGATGGGGAAGTCTGGAATCTGGGAGTACAGACTGGACATTCTGGGGATGTGAGGACAGTAGTTACCTGCATCAGGATAACTCAAGTCATTTGCTTTTACTCTGTTAAGTATCCTTAGTGTTTGGAATCAGATCTTGCCATGTGAATCTGATACTCTTCAAAGAAAGGAGAACTCTATGGATTGTCTTTGTTACCTTGAGTATTCCTCTGACCTAGAACAGGTATTTTCTTAATCCTAACCGTAAGTCAAAGGCCTCTGATTCCTCCCCCATGCCAATAATTTTTTCTCCTTTATAGTGTTGTTTCTCTTTTATGATATTTATTTTATGTATACTTACAGGTAACTAATGTAGTACTTACTTTTTCAACTTGATATACTGTAAGCTTCCTTGAGGGCTAATAATAAGTATCATCTTTGATTTAAGGGGTTAAGTTCTGCATCTTACCTATAACAGGTGCTCAGTAAATATTTGTTGAAAGAATAGAGTACTGGAAGGCCCTCATTTCACATTGCTTTTCTCCCCCTTTGTATGCCATGTTTTCTCTATCAAATGCAATAGGATTGGGGAGAATCTAATGTATCACCAGGCTCTTGGGTAAAAGAACAGCTGTGTCCCGGTTTGCTTGCTGTATACCATAGGCTCTGGTCTCCTTGGCCCTCCTTCATCTTGGTATTCACTCGCCTTTTTGGTTTTCCTTTCAGTGACAACGTCAGTGCCTACTGCCTGCATATTGCTGAGGATGACGGGGAGGTTGACACAGACTTCCCCCCACTGGACTCCAACGAGCCCATTCATAAGTTCGGCTTCAGTACCTTGGCCCTGGTTGAAAAGTATTCATCTCCTGGTCTGACATCCAAAGAGTCACTCTTTGTTCGAATGTGAGTATTGACCCTGTTACTGATCTCAGTATCTCATCTCTGCCTTCTAGGATTTGGACTTGTTTGCTCATGATATGAATGCCACTGGGTATCCGGATGTCCATTTGTAGTGACTACTTCCAGGGAGATGTTGAAGGCCCCGTTTGCGTTGTGTTTCATGCTTCTGCACCTGGATTGAATGCGGACCACTTTGCAGTAGCAGTTTGCATTAGGTAGATCTCTGCACGCAGCATCTGTGAGCCAGGCCTCTGGACCTGCTGGGTGGGGTACTTTGGAGACTGTGAAGCAAAAATTTTGGTTATCCCTTTGTCTTCATGAACTCCAAACTATATGAAAATGTGCATTGCAGCCACCTTTGTGTTGTGACTTAAAATACTTCTTTTCTTCTCCAACTTCGTTCAAATCAACTTTGATTTTTCCTCTCAGTTGCCTTCCTTTAGACTGATAAGGGGGTATTTTCCCATGCTTTTGGCATTCTGGTAAAGGCTTTAACTTATAAGCCCTTTCCAGAAAAAGTGTTTGTAAATGCAGAAAATAAAATCCACCAAGAATGTAAAAGAATTCCATTATATTTAAATACTTCTGAAATTATTAAATGAATTTGTGATACAGTGATATGTATGGCTTTTTAATACCAAGATCCAGCAGCAGGTCTAACTCCTAAGTCTCTCACTTCAAAGTAGTGATGAGCATAAATGAGATTTGAGAAGTCTGCAGCAACTGTAATGTGCTGTGACATTTGTTTTTTTCTGTTCTTGACAGAGTCGCCAATACCGCTAATACTACTGTGATTTGTTGACTATATTTATAATTGAAGGAAATGGGGACACCTGGGTGGCTAGGTGGGTTAAAGCCTCTGCCTTTGGCTCAGGTAATGATCCTAGGGTCCTAGAATCGAGCCCCACATTGGGCTCTCTGCTCAGCAGGGAGCCTGCTTCCTCCTCTCTCTCTGCCTGCCTCTCTGCCTACTTGTGATCTCTGTCAAATAAATAAATGAAGTCTTTAAAAAAATAATAATTCAAGGAGATGCTAAATATCACAAGTTAATGAAAATAAAAATAAAATTTTTGTGTATTCAAGTCTCTAGAGCAAGTTTTTACCCAGGGGTCCCAATTGTTAGAAGAAAACCTGTAACGTTTTCTAAGCACAGCGTAAGCTTCGCTAACGGGAACGGAGACTTGCCCTCTCCAGGCCCTCTCCTGGGAACACTAGTGATCCTTTTGGCACCCCCTGCTGTTAGTAACCAGCAAACTCACTATCCACAGGAGGGATTGCTTTAGAGGACTTTTCCCTTGTCTCTTTAAAACATACTGCCTTTGTTTCAGATTTTCAGTGAAAATAGGATTATGCTACCTATGATATAGGAGGATTTTGTGTCTTTCTACCCTTGAACAAAGAAAGAACACCTGAGTGTTGGGAGAGAGGGGAAGCTGTTGCGGGGGATGACTCCAAGTTTTTGTACTTAGGGTTTCATCCCTGCTATGAAGTCTTGTTTGCTATATGTAACAGTAAATATTTTCCCTCTTTTTATGTTTCAAAGGGGCTAAAACAACAACACTGAAGAATACTGAAAGTAATTTAAAACTTATCCAATGATTTCTCCCTCCTAATATAACTATTTTCATTTTCGTATCATCATTTCCATATATATATGGAAATATATATATTAAAATATATAATATATAATTATATATATTACAGTTTCTGCTGTAGTGTAAATATTTTGTTATTTTTACTTAAAATTACAAATATTTGATATCTGTTCTTAGTTCCTATAATCTATATTTATTATGTACCAAGAATCTAGACCAACCCTGTGCTCATGGAGCTTACTATCTAGTAAGGAGGGATTCGTCAAATCATTAAAACGTGGCGAGCAGGATAACAGAAAAAGGCCCAGACTGCGTTGGAAGCCTACCACTGGATATTTAGATTGTTTTCTTGCTTTGGTTTTAGTAAATGATGCTATTAGTCCTTATCCAGATCCCTTTTACTTCTGCTGAATCACATCCTTTGGACAATTTCCTGTGTGTAGTATTATTGGTCAGATTAGAAACATCTCTAGACTTTCACTTTGTATTGACATGTAGCCTTCTGAAAGGTGTTCCAGTTTACAGTGCTACTGTATTACTAACAGCTGCTGAATACTAACAGAATTCATAAAAGCATCTTTTCAAAGTCTTATTGTCATAAAGTATCATTAGGACTTTTTTTCTGTTTACTTTAGAAGATGTATACAGGGCTACTTCAGTAGTCTCCACTTGCATTTTTGTTTTTATTTATAAATGACTGGAAGAGTTCTCATTAGTGCATAATTATTTACTTCATAAATATTAACATGTGACCACCACATTCTTTTGAAGTAAGTGTCCTTTTTAAAACAAGGGCTTTTAGATCATTGATTTTCAACAGAATGGGGCTGGGGATAGGCAAGACATACCTTCCCAGAAGAAGCATCTAAAGACTATACAGGGTCTCCCTATGAACCCTGGCTTTTGGAGAATGTGAGGAAAGAGAGGAGGAAGGGCAGAGAGTAACAACAACTGGTTTGAACTTAGTACTCTTACTTTTTTCCTGAATTACTCCCATCCCTGCACTCCCACTCCCAAACACATATACCCCAGTCAGTCCTTTTTCTATTTTAAAATTCAGGAGAGCTTATTCGATATGTCTGGAGTGTTTCTGAAAACACGAGGTAAAGTAAAAACTTTATATGTGAGCATTTAAGAAAAAAAAAGTCAATAAATTTTGTTTCTTCTCTTCCTCAGTTGTCTGATGAAATAGTACAGATTACTGACCGTTTGCCCCATGTGTATTTTCTTGCTTCAGCAACCTTCCATTCACCTTGCTGGTCTATATTCTAAGTTAGAAAAGCCTCTCCTGCAAATGCAAGACAATGTGTCCAAAGTTTCAGAGAGTAAAGTCCCAGCAAAATAAGTAAAGCTGTCGCTCCTTTTCCCAATTAACCTCTTACCTCCTTGCCTCTCTCTCCCAGGGGAGAATGGGCAGGGGGTGTCTGGGAAGACACGGAACTGAACCAGGTAGAGAGAACTTGGCTTTGACAATAAACAGTGAATTAGTATTTACTAAATGGAAGCTATGTATATGTTAGTCCATTTAATCTGAATATAGACTGGTTTTTATTATGACCATTTTCAAGACATGAAAACTGAGGCTGACAGACTTTGCTCTCAGGCCTGGATTTGCCCCCATGCCTGACTTGCAAAGTCCACGTCCTTTGCAACACACTGCTGAGGGTTTGGGACAGTGGTGAGGAATCTAGTGGTGGTCTCATCATTCAAGTAAATCCCACTGTCTTAAGGCCAACATTCAGCTACTATATATTATAGTGTAGGGTAAGAGTGAGGGGGCCTCTGGCGCCAGAATGCTTGCATGCCATTCCTGACTTTACCCTTGCTAGTATGTGTGTGTAATCTTGGATGAACTGCTTAACCTTTTTTGGCCCAGTCAAATGAGGGTAATAATAATAGTACCTACCTCATAGAGCCATGATGAGGATTGAATCAGTTGATATATGTAAAGCACTTAGAACAGTGCCTGGCTGTGTGAGTGTTTATTGTAGTTATTATTGCTATGACTAGAAACCTTTTGAGGGCAAGAACTAATCACTTATGCCTCGCAACACCCAGAGTAGCTCCATTAGTGTGGTAGGTACACCACAAATATGTGTCAAATGAACTAAATAGAACTTTAGCTGCTTCTGCATTTTTCTTCTTCCCCTCCTTTCTGTCTCTATAAGAGAAGGGCAGAGTGTGGGTAGACATTGCTCAGCTGGACTGAAAAGTTATCAGGATAACGTTTGCTGAGTTAGGGGTAGGCGTAGACATTGGCAGGGGTAGACATTGGAGATCTGTAGACTTCAATTCAGTCCTCTTACGGGCAGACATCTTTTAAGAGATAGTAGCAAGACCGTAAACTCCTTGAAGAGAGGGTGTACACAGTCTTCATAGAGAAGGAATGGATGAATCTTCAGGTGTCTTTGGGCTGCCTAGGGGGGGCCCTGGTCAAACTTTCTGTCCTACTTTACTTTCTGAGCCCACCTAGCTTTTGGTACAGCCCTGTTCCTGCCTTTTGAATGCCATGAAGCCCCCAGCTTGCCTTCTGGCTTTCGGAGGCCCTCACATCACCCACCCCACACCTCTCACACCTCCCATATACCATCTTTCCCCACTCCAAGTGAGGCTGTACAAACTTTGAGCTTCGGCTAACCTAGGTTCAAGTTTCAGTTTCGCTGGCGACTTGCTACATGACCGTACTCTCAGCTTCTTCATCTGAAAAATGAGGGGAGTAATAACTACCTCATAGAATTGTCATGAGGAATTTTCTGAAATGTAAATAATGTACAGACCTCTTTTAAAGGAAAATTAATTCTCCTGAAGCCTCAATGTTTGTCAAAATTCGTTTTATTATAATGTTACTTAAATACACTTAAGTGTAAAATTCTAGCTATAAATTCCATGTCTTTATGCAATCCAATCAAAATTACAAATTAAATACAAATAAAACTATAATGTTAATAAAATACAAATTAACAATTTAAATGCAACAGATGATATTTGGCTCAGATTAAGTCACTGATGTTGGATTTAATGGGTGTTAAATGTTTTACTTGTCAACTTGAGTTTTTTTTATTTTCTTATGAAACATTGACTACCATATTAATATTTGTCCTTTGAAATAGTGAGTGTATTTTTAACTACTAGTCCATTATTTTAATGAGCCAGTTGATTTATAGTGCATCCCCCCCCCCCCGCAATTTTACATGTGCTTTACTGGAAAAATAAGGCATTTCTGCAACAATAACGAATTTATGTCAGTTTGCCCAGGATTTTCCCTGTTTTGAAATTCAAAGTCCTATACCCAGGAGCATCCTCCTCAGCCCGTTGTCATTTGTTCTGTACATAGGTGGGCTCTCTGCCTGACCGATACCTGGGCACAGTGTGACTTGGGCACTCAGAGCGTGAATTCTTCAGAGTTCA